GACTTATAATTTTATATCAAAACTATCCATTGGCACTTATTCATGCATACATCGCTCCGTATCTTTCATAGATATTAAACCACTGTGCTATAATACTATCAACCTCAGATGTAATACACTCTAGTCTACACGATTTCACACCGCCGCTCAATAGTCACCGCGTTAAAATCGTAGTACTACGAACTGATACCATGATATGTCGGGAAATTAGTGATTAAAGATCCCCGAAAGCCTCGGGAGGTTTGTGGAATTCGACAAACCTCCTTCGGCTTTCGGGGACATTTAATCACAAATTACCCTTACATCATGGTATTGCTTATAACAACAGTAATAAAATCAAAGATCACGCACTTAATTACCAAGAAGTTACTCAACTACGACTTTTAATAATTAATGTTTAGGATTGTCAAAAGTATCGCAAAACAATGTGGACAAACAACAATGCGCTATCCTGCAGTGATGACAATGATAAATGCACGAGAAATGATAAATGCGTGGACGGCATATGCAAAGGAAAACCGTTCACGTGCCTTGAGTGCCAGTTTTGTAATGGAGATGGATGTACGATCAGACCTGATTTCTGCCTGATCGATAGAAAATGTTACAAACGTGGGAATTTGAGACCTGGGAAACCTTGTCAGGTGTGTTTACAATTTATAATGTACCCTTATTATAAAGTATAGGATTCTTTTATAGTGCTCTTTTCTAGTAAAAGTGATACCTGTATAGAGCCCCTCCAACTTTGCATTGCTTTTTTTGCACCTGACCTCTCGCGCGGTACAGGTTCCCAATATACCTTGTGGATTCGTATATTCAGGTAATCAGATCTTTAATAACGTTTAATGCAATTGTTCTTAGGAATGCAACAGCAACAGGCCCACAACGTGGACACCAAATAATAACCTTGTGTGCAGCGACAATAATGTAAAGACCAGAAATGACCATTGTGCAAATGGAGAATGTCAAGGACAGCCATTCACGTGTTTATCATGCCAGAAGCATCATAACGACGCATGCCGAATAGAATCTGGCTATTGCATCATCATCAACTCTAAAAATGTTGACAGATGTATTCCTGGTAATACGGAAAAACCAAACAATTCATGTCAGGTAGAGTAAAAAATGTTCCAAAGTTGAACTGTTAAATTAAAATTTGAAAGCGTCGACCAATCAGCAGAGCCTCACAAGAGAAATTCGGAGCCCCATCCCCCCCCCCCCACTACCTCCTCCGGGATGCCCTGTCAATCATTTTTGTTCATTTGTCCTTAGGAAACTAAATAAAATTGAACAATACACAAAGAGAACACGTGGTTTCGCTATTCTTATTCAGGTGAATTAACCTAACTTCCCCCACTACGTGGCCTTCATCAGAGGTGAACTGATGGCAGAATAAAGAGGGGTACAATGACATTTTCAAAATCAGACACATAAACCCCTCACTTATCAAAACTCTTTCCAGCAACAAAATTGTAGACCGCGAGCAGTCCCTCGGGAGAAAGGAGGGACTGCCGACAACACATCAAGAAACGAAATACGCCCACTTTTCGCTCTTGTCAAGTTGGCTCCGCCTTTGCATAAACATATATCCAATGAAATCTATCCGATAGGAACCGTTAATGTCATGTTTATTTATACAATCAACATCCAGTCTGGAAATTATTTATAACATAATTACTATGCATCAGATTGGATTGACAGGCGTATCGATTTCGACCAATGGGAATTTTGCGTTGTGTGGCTACCTCCTCCGCAGGGAAACGAACGGAAAGGTCTGCGGACTAATTTTCCAAGATGGCGGAAGCCACAAGCCAAACTATATTTATATATATAATTTATATATTACCATTATATTATTATTAAAGTCTTTAACTATTTCTGATATAGACCGCTTTTTGTATCCGAATATACATAAAAACCGTGAATACTGAACAAACAAGCATACATTGATTTATAAAGAGAAGCAGATAAATATCAGTTAACTTGCAAATTAAATTCTAAAACAGACGAACACGCTTTTAATATAGCACGTCGTATGTTCGGCATGCAGTTTATCCACGAAATTTATTCCATTTATATTTGTCTTTCATACATTGTAACTATTTATATGCGTGTGTATATAGTCAAAACATCCCATTTGGCCAAATGATAGATTCACGACGTCTATATCACTGTCGCTTGTGCTTGTAAAACTCTCCATTATTTGAATCTCCTCGTCGCTTTTATCCGCCATAACTGCCAAGATGTATTTAGAAAATACTCGCAAAGGGCATACTCATTATGGGCTGTATGACCTGCAGAGGAGGTACTTTGTATGGGCAACGCGTATTTCGTTTCTTGATGTCGCTCCTTTCCTTTCGCATGCCCGGAAATCTAAACTCGCGAAAAGCACATGTTGAAATATTAGCGAACGATCCTTACTGTCGATGCCAATATAAATGTCCATAACTATTGATCGCTCACGTTTTAACTTCCCAGCAAAAGCTTTATTTTTAAAACTCTTTCAGTGGTGCCTTCCTGCAACAACTACTTCAACTTGGACGGACAAGCATGACGTTCCTTGCGACGACGGAAACAGTTGCACAAAGTCAGACACATGTAAACATGGCCAATGTGACGGGATAAGTTTTACATGCAATAATGATTGTCAATCTTGCAATGGCATTGACTGTGGTTTACACATTGGGTATGGATATGTAGCGGACACCTGTACTTGCAAAATAGCAGGTACATCGATTTAAAACTTAAATAGTTTTGCTAATTTTCCAAGCTAGTTTAGAACTTACCACAGTTATAACCATGCAACAAGAAGTTGCCCAAAATTATGTACCTGCATATATGTTTTCGATGTACAAAATTCTTAAAGTACCAAAATACCACTTATTTCTTCAGGAAGAGACTACAAACATCAACAGCTGAACCCAAGTAATGGATGTCAATGGTGCGACATATATGACAAAACATCCAAACAAATTCTCGCATGGTCTCACCGACCGTCAGTTGCTTGCAATGATAACAACGCCTGTACAAAGCAAGATCTCTGTCAAAATGGCTACTGTGTGGGTACCGAATACAGCTGTCAAGCATCCTATCCGCAGTCCAGTTGTATACAGACTTCTCAATGTGTTGGTAATGGAACATGTAGGTATATCATGAAGAACAACGGAACAATATGTCGTGCAGCTATTGACGAGTGTGATCAATCAGAAAGGTAAGAAAGTAGTATACACTGTGTAATATTAGAATTCTTATGCATGCAAGTGAACCTCTCCTTGCAGAATGCAGACTCCTCCCATTAGAGGACACCATTCTTGGATCCCGGCCAAAGGTCTATTATATCACTATATTTACAACCTCACGCGGACACCAAATAGCATTTTAACCTCGTATAAGCGAACAGTTTGCATTTTATTCCCGTTGAAATAGTGTTTATTAGATGCTGTGTTGATATACTTTGGGTGGATTAAGACAAAAACATCTGTTTAGTAAAGGTTATAATTACTAATGTAATGAAGGAAGACAAAAATGCATCGTTCCTTTGGTGATAAATATTCCTCCCAATATTAGGATATATTATTACACTGATCAATTATGTACTGTTTAATAAACGAGCAGGAGTATTTTATTATGTTTAAAGACACGAGCGCGCAGCGCGAGTGGCTTTAGACATAATAAAACACGACCTGCGAGTTTATTAAACGGCTTCAAACACGACTACAAATTCAATAGATATACTGCCTATTAGTATTCTTTATATAAAGAATACTAATGAGGACACGACTACAATAGATACTGCCTTATTAGTATTCTTTATATAAAGAATACTAATTAGGAGTGTTTTATCAGGTTTAAAGCCACTGCACGTGACATATTATGATTGACATGATTTGCCAATAAGCTTACGAATTATTAATGAGTGTTTGAAACATTATTAAAAAACTCATTAATAATTCAGGAGCAAAACACAAAAAAAATCATAAGCGTGTCGTGGTTATATATGTGATATAAAACCATGTTAATTTACATAAACTTTAGCTTTGATTTTCTCGGTTTAGACAAAGTTTATTTTAAAAATTACTTCGCCAATGAACTCGTATAAGCTGAGTCGTTTTTTAAGCCATTTAAAGCACGCGTAGTCGTGTTTTATCACATATAAAACACTCCGCTACGCGTCGTGTTTTATATATGATAAAACACTCCTACGCGTGCTTTAAATAGTACATGAACCCATCGTAAGAGGCACATCCCGTAAGCAAGTACCATGACTCGATCGACTGTAGATTTGGTGAGTAGTGAACAGCAACGGACGGACCAGTAGTTTGTTGATATAGAAATAAGTGAGAATGGGTAAGTAAGGTAAGTGAAGTTAGGCAGATTGGTATGTGTATTGTAGTACGTAGATAATGTTAGGAATTTAGATGGATGTGTTAGGGAAAAGCTCATAGTTCGTCACGCAATTGCACACATTCCGCATTTTCGTAGATGCAACGGTGTAATTGGAACATGCCCGCCAACAGCTATCAATCCAATATACTTTCAAGAAGGTCAAGCAAAGATAACACTTCCGAACTTCGCGACAACTGTCACATTCCAGTCAAGCACAGACAAATTACATCTCCAACTCAGCGGCTTTGTTGTCACTTGTGGTTCACTCACTGTCAGATGGTCTTTAATAAAAGCTGAAAACAGTTGCAACCTTGGTAGAAATAATGCAACACTTTCTTCCAATACAAATAATCATATTCTCGCCGGTCTTAATTTGCAGAACACAGACACATATAAAGTCGTTGTTCAGGCAAGCAATATTCGCGAACAATTTGGGTTACCAGTGTGCAGTAATCCGGTTACCATAGATACTAGCACGCCAACAGGTGGTTGGGTGTATGACGGTTCAGGCTCTACTGATCTTCAATATCAATCAAGTAAGTCGTTCACCCCGTCATGGGGAGGGTTTCAATCAACCTACGGCATTGGAAAGTACGAAGTCGCTATGCACTACCAACCGCAGTCTTCCAGCGACCAAATTGAAGTACAGGGCTTTGTAAACGTAAACTTAAACGTCTCGTTCAGTAAAACAATTGCGGCAATCCCAGATGGCAGCAAACTCACAACAAAAGTACGAGCATACACAAAAGCAGGATTATATACAGAAATCGTCAGCAATGGTGTAACTGTGGACACATCACAACCTTTACCTGGATCAGCCTCCGACGGCTCCAACCTTTTGTCAGATCTGCAATATGCTGATTGGACTTCCAGTTATACTGTGAGTTGGGAACCGTTCACAGAACCTCATACGCCTATTGTGAACTACAACGTCGGTGTTAAGCGAAAGAATGGCGGCTTTGTTTCAGCAGGGTTAACAGCGGTCGGTATAACATACCAATATGTAGTTACAAGCTTAACTCTTGCCTCGGAAGAAGAATATTGTGCGATCGTTGAAGGCGAAAACGCTGCTGGACTAAAAGCTCAAGTTTATTCAAATTGTTTGCTCATTGATCACGAAGCTCCACGACATGGAACTATTAATGACGGATTGTCTGATGATATTGACTATCAGTCAGGAGATACGGTATTCCACGCCAACTGGAACGGATTCGACGACGGTACTCGTGGCAGCGGACTCGCAGACTACAAGTACATACTAACAAATCAAAATGATGTCAATGTCACCTCATGGACCGCTGTAGGCTTACAAACAAATGTTACAATCTCAGGAATAAGTCTCGTAGATGGTAATACGTATTACATGACAGTTCGAGCAATCGATAGAGTGGGAAATTACAAAGAAATCAAATCAGACGGAGTGCACATTGACACAACCCATCCAGTTTATACTGGCAAAATAATCGTTGAAGGTGAAATGGCACAAAAAGACAACGAGTCAGTTGTTTATATTCAAAATATAGAAGATTCCGTAACCGCGTCTTGGCCTCAATTTGTTGACGAACACAGTGGAATGAAGAAATACCAATGGAGTATTGTCGAAGATCAGGCACAACCAACAGAATGGAAAAACGTGCCAGGAATAAACCTTGCGACAAGAGCAGTGTTTCGGTAAGCGTAAAGGCAATATTGCATGTGGCCATTTTTATCGACGATTCGTATAGCTTTAAGGCCATTTTCCACTTCAAGCGTACCGAAATGTAGTTTAGTGAATGTTGTTTGGTTAATGCTTCCGTAGTACGCGAATTGAGTTGCAAAGGACGTTTCATTTTGATACGTAATACACACGGAAGTACGTGGATTTATCAATCAACCTGCTTTCAACCTGGGCATACTCATCAGTACGTTTCGGTACGGTATCCTTGAAGTGGAAAACGGTTTGCATCGTTTTGCATTGCATATCGTTGCATTGATTTTAGCCTCCTGCGCAGACGTTGTTAGTGGCGGCGGCCCCACCTAACTAAAAACGTCTGAGCAGGAGGCTACATCGAGGTACGATTGGGCAGAAAGGCATAAGCAATAGGGATTCATCATATTGTCACTTCCCTAAGGTAATAATAATTATTACAATGCCTTTTTAGATCTCTCTCATTAGCCAATAACACTGGATATCGACTAACAATTCGCGGTATTAACAACGCAGGTCTGCACACAGATATCACATCACCTATAATAATCCCCATCGGAGCAGCACCTAGACTTGGGACAGTCTCTGACGGCCACGATCCAACGATAGACATCGAATACCTAACCAATTCGTCCGAAGTTCATGCAACTTGGCAAGGTTTTGAAACAACAGATGTAAAAATACGAGCTTATTTCTTTGCAATCGGTAGCTGCACGAGAGGTAATTACCACGTGACTAACAACCAGTTCATGCCAGTTACGCCGCCAACAGCAACGTCGTTCGGAATTGAAGGCCTGCATCTCGTGAACGGTCTGCGATACTGTATCAAAATCAAGGCAGAAAATTTGGCAGGAGTTGAGAGTGGCGTAGTCTCCTCGGATGGGTTTATGGTGGATGTCTCCCCTCCTGATCTGAGGCATGCGATGGTGTTGGACGGGCAAGGACAAGACGATATAGATCACCAATCAGGTAACGTGGAGTTATCCGCGACCTGGACCGGAATTCATGACAATGAATCTGGCATACAACACTTTGAGGTCGCTGTCAGTCGAAACAGAGCAGGCGAACCGGATGTAACGTCATTCATAGACGTTAGTCAAAATACGTACTCTACAATAACTGGACTGAGTCTTAACAACGAAGTGTATTACATCATACTATGTGCTACAAATAACGCAGGATTAAAGTCGTGTTTGGCTTCAGATGGCGTTCTTGTCGATCCGACTTCTCCAACATCAGGCATCGTACACGACGGGATACTTGAACCAGATCTACGCTATCAGGCAAATACAAATAAGCTAAGTGCAAACTGGGAACGAATTTGGGACTTGGAAAGCAGAGTGGAGAGATTTGAGTGGGGGATTGGGGAAGAAGGAGAAGATCTTGTTCAAGAATTTGTTGAAGTTGGACTTCAGACTCACGTAACATCGAAGAACGCTCTAGATCTAAAACATGGCCACAACTATACTATATTCCTGCGAGTGTATAACAGAGCTGGCGTATTAAATGAACTATCATCTAATGGTGTTATTATTGATACAACACCGCCAGTTCCAAGTGAAATTATACCAAGGCTATCTCCATTGGAATGGCGTTTTTCCAAAGAAACTGAAACATACTACTCATCTAGTGCGTCAGATATTTACGTTACATGGGAAGACTTTGATGAACTGGAAAGTGGAATGTGGTACTACAAGTGGGCAATAGGAACTTCGAAATACGGCACCCAACTTCAACCATTGATAAATATCGGTTTAGTCACAAATGCCAATACCTCCGGAAATGGACTGAATATCCGACCGGGGATTCGTTATTTTGTCACTGTGGTTGGAAGAAATCGAGCTGACCTCGTTTCAGGTAACTGCTCATGGCCTTTCCTGGTTGATTACAGCGCGCCACGTACAGGAAATATCCAGATAAAATCACCTTCTGGAATCAAAAAGGATTATTTCAGGTCAGACGAAAATATGCGCGTTAGTTGGTCAGGATTCAAAGATCCGGAAAGCGGAATCGAAAAGTACGACATTTCAGTGATACGTGAAAACAGAGAGAATTTAAACTACACTCGGATCTCTGATGCGGAGCTGGAAATACTGATAGATACAACTCTTCTGTCTCCGGGAAATGCTTATAGAATTGTTGTGAAATCCATCAATTACGCAGGCCTCGAGTCATTTGTCATTTCAACACCGTTTACGATCGACAATACACCACCTGCCTACACCGGAAATAGAAACGACCTACCAAAGAGCTATTTTCTGCCGGATTCACATTTATTAGAAGTTGTTTGGGAAGCCTTCGAAGATCACGAAAGTCCCATCGACTTTTATGAAATTGGCATCGGAAGACACTTATCCAGTGACGATATATACAAGTTTACTAAAACTGGTTTATGTACACATTTCACTTTTCGTGGTTTGGACATTACAGACAATCAGCCGTATTATGTAACCGTCAACGCTCACAACATGGCCGGCCTCGTGACTTCGCTGTCGTTAGAGGAAATCACGTTTGATCAAAGTCTGCCAACTGGAAATAATGGAAGTGTTAAAGATGGTTTATTACACGAAGATATTGACTATATGTCGTTAGAAAACACAGTGTCTGCTACTTTGGAAAATATCGAGGACTTGGAAAGTGGAATAAACAAAATAGAGTACTGTGTTGGCAGTACTCCATTTAACTGCTTCATAAAACCTTTCACTTCAATCCATCCAAATAAATCGTTCGTTTGTACGGATTGCAAAATTGATCCTGGGATGACAGCTTTTGCCACATTTCGTGTAACAAACGGGGCAGGTTTGTCTGCCATATTTGTCTCGGATGGTGTCACAGTTGATTCCACTGCTCCTGAAATACATATCGTTTATGATGGTAGAAAGGCGGAATATCCTGATGTGGAAAAGACGTATAGTAATTGGACGCCAACTGTCACGTGGTACGGAGCACGGGACGTTCAAAGTGGCTTACGTAATTGTCAGTGGATGATCGTAAAGAAAGATGGAAACACAACTGTCTATGTGAAGACGCTTCGTGAAGCTAACATAACTTACAACATACGTCATACAGAAAGAGCTGCTGACCCGCTTATACTTACTGCAAACTCTTCATATTTTAACATCATCCAATGTTGGAACTATGCAGGAATTACTAGTTACCAGTATTCGAACGGTTGGGCTGTGGTTGAACAATGGCCCATTCCGTCATACGTCATAGATGGCCCGGGACCACATGACATGAAATATAACGTAAATGGTGAAACACTTCACGCATCGTGGGGCGCATTCCACGCTGATTCAAAGGATCCCGTAGTAAAGTACGAGTGGGCTGTTGGTACGTTTGGGCAAGTTGACGACATTCTGGAATTTACAGATGTAGGACTTGATACAAAAGTTTCATTGTCGTTGTCAGAAAGCGATATAATAGTAAAGGCGGGGGTTGAATATTACATAACTGTGCGCGGAACTACTTTGAGCGGCTGGAACAGCAACAAAAAATCAGATGGCTTTATTGTGGATACAACTTCGCCGACTGCTGGTATTGTGAAGGTGTCTCACCATATTTTAAACCAGAACGCCAATGAAGTTGATTATACATTAACATGGGAAGGTTTTGCTGACTCCGAGACAGGAATTGACAATTATGCATATTGTTTAGGTTATATTAAGGATGTTTGCTCAACGACTGTCTTCAATGCAGGGCTGGGTTTTCAAGGCACAGTGCAAGATTTTCTTCCTGAAGCCCAAGATGATTCATTCCACGGTATTGTCGTTGTTACAAACAGAGCAGGTCTGAAAACCATCGTTAGTTCAAATGCTGTTAAAATTGACTTCACCCCTCCCACGACTGGAACTCTACTTGATGGAATTGATATTGATTTGGACTACATCAACTCTAGCGTTACCTTAGCAACGACATGGTCGGCGTTCACAGACCCCGACACTGGAATTAAGAAATGCACCTTAACTGTCAGTGAAGAAAACCCGTTTAAGAACGAGTCTATAACGATGAAAGTAAGGATCGACGTTAATACGACTGGCTCCATAATTCACGATTTCCTGTTGATATCAGGCCTTCAGTACGTTTCTACTGTAACATGTGAGAATTTCGACGGATTTAAATCTTCAAAGTCTTCTAACGGTGTCATTGTTGACGACTCCCCTCCTATCGCGGGCACAATACTTGACAAAAATGCCCAACTCTTTGATAACCAATATCAGGCATCCACTAGTGAGCTTCACGTCCGTTGGACCGATGGACACGATCTTGAAAGTGGCATCATGGAGTATCTAATTGCCGTAGGATCTGGATCAAATGAGGACGACATGCGCGAATTCTTTTCAGTTGGATTAGCAAGAGAGATACATGTTAAGAACCTTACTCTGAGTTCTGGTTCAACTTATTACATCACTTTGCAAATTGTGAATAAAGCTGGTATGACGTCACGTGTTTCTTCAAGTGGTATAACAGTTGATACGACACCACCAGAAATACAAGAGGTATGTATAACAGCAAAACATATTAATCTCAAACATTGAAAATTCATGAGTAAATTAGCCAACCATATTGTATTATTTTGCTCACATGATAATATTGGATACCTGGTAAAGTATATTGATCCAATCCTAGGACTGGATCAATACACTTCACCATGTATCCAGCATTATCATGTGAGCAAAATAAAGCAATATGATTGGCTAATTTACTCATGAATTATTAATGGTTGAGATGTAATATTTCAAATCCGATCATGAGGACTGAACAAGGTTTCAAGGTTTCATCCTCGCATTTTGGATGCTGTCCTCGGCGTCGATCAAATTGCGCGGACTTAAAAAAACCTAGTCCAGTCCTTGTAGTCGGATCTGAAATATTACATAATATAATATAGACAGCACTTCAGGTACTGATATTGTAATGTATTGGGTTAAAAATCAGGCCGCCAATAGATGACAATGCGTGATTTTTTCAATGTATTTCCAATAATTTTCAGATAAAACTTCAACGGTCTGGAACCGGGCATATAGGTCCTAAAGATAATCTAGGTGGAAGCTGGAAAACATTCGACGACGAAAGCTATATCGACTTTGTTGAATATTGTTTTGGTACAACTGATGGAGGGTGCAATGTACAAGATATGTATCGGGCACTGGACAAAGAAACGAACGTAACGTGCCTTGATTGCAAACTGAAACACAACTACACTTATTTCATGACTGTTCGAGTCTGGAATAAAGCGGGCTTGTTCAACCTGGCTACATCAGCAGGAGTGACAGTTGATTTGACGGCACCAATTGGAGGCAAAGTATCATTAAATAAAACCTATATGTTTTGTATTGGTCGTTGTGGTCTGACCGCAGAATTTGGTGGATTTAAAGATGAAGAAAGTGGTATGGGAAGTTGTGAATTTAGCATCAAAACCGTGAATGAAGTAACCGTTATGCCTGTTCAACCTACGACAAATGAAAACCAACTAGAATCCAATGATTTAATATTCCAACATGGTGAAAGTTACAAAATAGCTGTGGCGTGTTATAATACTGTGGGAGAGCGAAGCGTGGACGTTTTCTCGCCACCAATACGAATTGATAATGTACCGCCAGAAAAGGTAAGACGTGACCGCAATGATACATACCGAATGACTAAAAACACATCTTTTTCTACGTCCTGTGGCAAGTAAAAATGGTTTGCATGTTTGAAAGCATGCAGCAAACGGCATAGTCGGATATTCTTGGCAAATTTTCAATTCTTTTCGCCGCTCCATATTTCCTTTAAGGAAAATTACAACAAAAATTATGTTTGCCTATAATTTGAAAGAGTGTTAAGACTATTCACAAAGCTTTTTTACAAATATTCCCAAACTATCTTAATTTTTGAGATATTTGGAACCAAAACATCCTGCCATCCGTCAATTTGTGTTTTTTATTAGATCTAATTAAATGACGTCACAACCAGGAGTAAAAATTAGGATTTAACATTAAAGTAACCTGAGAATTGACCAAGATATGAAATAATTTTACCCCGGTTGTGACGTCACGGATATGCGACGGTGGATATACATATCCAAGATGGCGGGCTTCATAACGATTTTGTTTGAAATGAAAAGTTATATATTTTATACCAAGAACGATAAAGAAAATCTGTTATAAGGTTTTGAAATATACTAAACTGAATCTCCCTTCCAAGTGTGAGAAATTTTGACAACAATTTTAATAAAAATGAAACCATAATACAAGGAAATGTAATAATTTCTTCACATTCTTTACACAGGTTCGAATGCTGCCGCTTTTTAAAATTACATCAAATAATATTATTCATTTTAGGGTTTTGTGATCATAAGTCCTGATCGAAATCATGATGTTCGGCGTCAGCATGTTGGCTGTCACTTTTTGAATACGACATTACGGGTTTACTGGTCTGGATTTCAAGACAAAGAGTCAAATATCGCCGGATATCGCGTCGCCATTAGACGAAGACCACTTGGATATGATATCATTTCCTTTACCCATGTCGGTATAGTCGCAGATGCAAAGTTTGATCTTGGCGAAAAATATGGTCTGTCTCTGGGAGAAACGATCTTTGCAACAGTACAAGCAACCAATAAAGCTGGTCTTTCAATTGAAGTTTCATCGCTTCCTACTCGTCTAATATCTAATACAGACAGTAACCTTGTTAATGAGCAGGATTTCTTATGTGTTAATGTTTAAATATGTTGAACCAGTAATCTGAAATAAAAACTGGATCGGGTGACTATCTACTGTGTATAAAATGAAGCCATGGACAAGAGGCTTTAAAGGACAAACTCGTGATAAAACTGCTAATGTACAGTACTATGACAGAAATGAATATTGCTTGAGACAGTTTTGTGTGCCAAAATAATAGTGCGTTAAGAGAATTTTTCCCGGAACATGGTGCCAAGCACGGGAGGACACCTCCCCCACTCTATTATAAACTAGTGTCGAGTACGTGCATGTGCTCCACTCTCCCACTTTTTAAATTGGATTTTCGCTCTTGTTTGGTATCTTATCGTAATGTTGGATTCCCATTGTCTAACAATGTTCAACTGGCTTCATTTTTTGCACAAGCCAACACCAGTTTGCATTTCGGATCACTAATGGTAAACACCGAACGTTTCAACACACTTTCAATATATTAAAACTATATTAACATGCATACTGATTTACTGTGTCTACTGTATAAGCCAGGTTTCTGGTAATCATATAAGCTAGTAGCTCGTTTAATGGTTCAATGAAGAGCGTAGCAAATTTCAGCGTGATATAATGCTATATATAGCTTATTTTTTTCTAATGTGTAATTAAATAATTATATAACAAGTAAGATTAAAGACAGTAAACGAATTCGAGTCATTTGGGTTCCAATTTGGTGCAGCTGTCGCAAATTTCAGCATGGGCTGGAAATATGTATTCCGGCTAATTTAGTCGATGTAACCATACAGTAGATTCAACAGACAATGCACTAACTATATATCATACCATTTACACGAATGAAGATAATAAAAAATTGATATACTACACAATATACCCAATTAGTATATACATACAATCATTGTAATTGTAAATAAACCAATTGCTATGAAACATTCTACGATTCTATTTGTTATAATCAAAATAACTTTACCAAACTAAAAGTTGTCAGCAGGTATATGGTGAATCTCAAAAAGAGAGAGAAATGTGATCTTCAATTCATATGTGCATGAATTGTCCATGTATGCAAATCAAGTCACAACTTAAATTTTCAATTCATGTTTCAAATCTCTATATGTGAAAACGAAAGTAATCTTCAATCCATATGTGAAATAAATCGCATATGAAATGCGATTTCATTTCAATTCATACTGTATGTACGAATCACGAGAGTACGAATCACATGATGAGATATTCAATTCATATCTGCATGAGTGGCGAATTTTACGAACCGTTTTTTTGCTACTACGGTGCGACTACGCGTAGTTGCGTAGTAGCTAGCCAGGTAGTGTTACATCAGGCCTTAAAATATCTTTTACAGGGCCGTCTGACAAAATGTCCGGTGACGTTGAGTTTGGGTCGGACATATGTCCGATGACCTTCAGTTCAGTTTTGACTCGGAAATAAGTCTGAATGACACAAATGAATAAACGGTAAATGTTGTAAAGATATTAAATAATTTGTTTCTTTCATACTTATGTCCAAGCCAAAATTAACTTGCTTTCCAGAACAGCAGTATTAATAGAGCCTTCGACAACTTAAGCCTGTTTTCCACTTCACCATTTCGCTCGCCGCCCCGCGCTCGACTACGTTAAAACAACATTTCCAGTTCACCTTTTATACAATAGTACTATGATTTTCCATTTAATATACAAGCCTCTAGTCCTGGGCTAGGGTACATTTTGATTTACGTCGGACAAAGCTACAGTTCGGTCTGACACCAATACACTCAGGTCGGACAAACAATAAACCTCAGTTTCACTTTGGTCGGACAGAATGTCCGGTGGTTTCCTCTCTACGTCGGACAATTTCACGAATGAGTCGGACAATGTCCGTGACCGACCGATATTTTAAGGCCTGGTTACATGAAATGTCACATATAAGGGTCCGATAAGGGCCAGACAAGGTGTCACATGCGTAGTTGCGTAGTTGTGCACGCGAAACTAGATAAGTAGAGGGCTAATTTTGCACACTGGGATTTGTCGGACTAATACCGTCTCCACTTCAATGACATTTGGGGAAAATAAGATAAAGACCATCCCACAACATGAAAGGATTTGTCATTACCATTCAGCAAAACGTGAAGTCGGCCCGACAAATCGCAGAAATATAAAGAGGTACAAAAATTACGGGAACCACTGAGTACAGTATTTTAATAAAATATAAAACAACGGTAACTCCGAAAATAAACATTTTAATATTCTAGCTTTCGACTAAGATTCAGTCATCATGAATAATGTTACCGTTGTTTTATATTTTATAAAGAGGTACCTTAAAGTGCTTCACCATTCTTGTAGAGGTACCTTAAAGTGCTTCACCATTCTTGTTGCTAACCAAGAGATTTCCCATGTAAGGAATACACTTCAACACACATCTAAAACACAGGAAACCACTCTCCATCTTCTGTGCCGTTCCCTAGGGAAAAAGCGAATGACATTACAGTATATCAGGTTTATAGAGTATTCAGTGTATTCTTATTATAAAATGGGCCAAATGCGAGGAATGCTGGTCTTAGTCTTAGTAGTCATCGCCCGGGAAAATGAAACAATTCAAAATGGCCACTATCGAAATTCTCCCGGGCGATGACTACTATAAATTCCTCGCGGGCATCAAGCCTTGTGACGTCATTATGCATAAGGTCTATTGGCTCAAACTTTGATTGGCCCGATTAATCCTTGTGCGTAAACGTACCTTTAGAGAACGTTGATTTTTAAAATTACTTTGTCAATGAACTCACAAGATGGGTCGTTTTTAAAGCCATTTAAAACACTTGCATGCAGTCCATGCTATAGGCTATAGCCGATATAAGAGACTCGGCTCTCGCCTCGTGTTTACATCTGATAGAGCACTCCTGCTCGTGTTTTAAATAGTAATTAATTTATTCACAAAAAAATAAATAAATAAACAAAATATATACGAAATAAATATATGAATAAATAAATAAATATAATATAATAAATATAATAAATATAATAAATAGGGGTGCACCGGATTTCAAATCCGGCCGGAATTCCGGCTGGATTTAACGAATTTTCCGGCATCCAGTTTCCGGCCGGATTTGGAGAAAATCCGGCCGGATTTAAATTTCTATTTTCACCTTAAAAAGTTCACCAAGAATGGGATAAACCATCAATTTGGCAGCTTTAAAGTTTAAAAAAACACTTATATTATTATAAAATATTAAGTTATTAACAAAAAGATGTTTAAAAAAGGTTTAAACACAATCAAAAATCTAAACTGACACTAACTAAAAATAGTAAAAAACATAAACCGTCATTTTGAATACTGATTTATCCCCAATTGTCCCCATTACCGGTTTATCTCAAATCCAGCAAATCCGGCGGGAATTCCGGCCGGAATTTTTGTCCAAATCCAGTAAATCCGGTTCCGGCCGGATTTGAAAATTCCAAATCCGGTGCACCCCTAATAATAAATATATGAATAAATAAACATATAAATATAAATAAATAAATATAATAAATATAATAAATAAATAAATATATAAATATAATAATAAATATATGAAGTAAACCAGGTTTATTTATTTATTTATATATATATATATATATATATATATATATATATATATATATATATATATATATATATATATATATCCTACTTAACTACAGGGGTCAGTGTTACGTATGGTGATTGCACTGATTTTCAGGAATGTAACAAAGCGTCTGAAGTTTGGGAAGGGGTGTGGGATGTCAAATGGT